TAAATATATAGCTTCTGTAACTTCACCATTTCCTCAACATTATAGGCCTTGGAACTCGTTATTACTGAAATATGCAGCACTGCCAATCTTATTACAAGCATCTTTTGCTGCGTATTGAAACGCAGTAGACTGATCGAGATGAATCTAAGTTCTAATAAGTTTGCTTGTCACTTATAGCCAGATTACCTTTTGCCTAATATATGAATCAACAATTTCGGGCCTCAATTGAGGATAAATAGGATAAAAATATCAGGTAAGGATAAAAACGCGTGATGAATTTCTTCTTGGCCGAGCACAAGAATCGTTAAAATCCACGGATATTAGTTTCCACGTTTAAGTATCTCCTTAAGTTGAGTGTAAGTATCTGTAATAATATTCAAATTTTTGCTTCACTTATTGATCCTTAGCTGCGACTGCTGCCACTAATGGTTCTTTCTGTCACTGACAGCTACCTCTGCTACGGCCATCTGCCTACTATTATTGTTGTCGTAGTGGCTGATCCTTCTGCTGATGATCGATATTTTTAAATTCCCCTAAGGAGAATTTGAAAATTTAAATTTAAATTCTCCTAAGGAGAATTTAAAAATATCGCATCTAAACAGCATCTATGCTCTTTTTAATCAGTGCGATCACCTGAATTTAATTTCAATTCATTCGATCGTTCAAAAAGTCGCTTATCTTTGCCGTGCAGCTGCTTTGAAAAGATAAAATTGACCTCTTTTTGCACACATTAAGAAGAGCTGGTAAAATCGCTTGTACTTTCCTGGCATTAAGCCTTGCCCAGAGAAGTAGTATGGACCCTAGCAGGCAAAGACGTCTATGGCAGAGCTTGGTGCCTTTGTCGTCTGCTTCGGCGTTCTTCTGCCTTACTTTCAGTTGACATTTTGCTGAGGAACCCATGTGGGAAATCTTAGAAAATGTTTTGTGAACCCTATTGCTTGTAACTCAGATATCGTCCGCTATGCTGAGGCAAAATACGAATAAATTAATTCAATATATACCATGACTAAAAAGTGTCCTGTAAGCCCGTAACGCTTCATAAAAGTCATAAAACCTATACAATGACGTGATGTTATAATTTATAAATATGAGTATATACCAAAGAATAAAAGCGGGGTTGTCACTTCCACATGTGTTGTCAGAGCACAACGAAATCTTGATTCCATTTCTGTTGAAGGACGAGTAACAAAAGGGAAGGGTAACCTACTGCAGGGTTTTGGCAAAGGACCTGAATTGAGTTTATGTTCTATGCAGCTATTTTGCTAGGTTAGGTTGTTCGTTATGCCGCTGGGGTTTATGCAAGATGATTCATGTTATGAGCGAAGGCGATGTTAATGCTGCCTAGAATACCAGTTTGATTTTATGACTATTATAAATCAAAACAATGGAGGAAGATGCAAACAGCCACCACGAGTTGCCATAGCCTATAATGGCAATGTACAAGTTGAACTTTTCAGAAGCCAGGAATTAGTAAGCGACAATGAATTATTGTTGGGAAAATCAAGATGGAGTGGTAAAGTGAAAGAGTGTAGGTGGGAGTGTGATAAAGAGAAGAAATCGTGAGAGAGAGAAGCGAGTGGGAGTGTGATAAAGAGAAGAAATCGTGAGAGAGAAGCGAGTGGAAGTGTGATAAAGAGAAGAAATCGTGAGAGAGAGAAGCGAGTGAAAAGGTGATAAAGAGAAGAAATCGTGAGCGAGAGAAGCGAGTGAAAGGGTGATAAAGAGAAGAAATCGTGCTGGAAAGAAGCGAGTGGGAGTGTGATAAAGAGAAGAAATCGTGCGAGAGAGAAGCGAGTGGGAGTGTGATATTGAGAAGAAATCATGAGAGAGAGAAGCGAGTAGGAGTGTGATAAAGAGAAGAAAACGTGCGAGAGAGAAGCGAGTGGGAGTGTGATAAAGAGAAGAAATCATGAGAGAGAGAAGCGAGTGTGAGTGTGATAAAGAGAAGAAAAGGAGAAGCGAGTGGGAGTAATAAAGAGAAGATAAGATAAATAAATATAAAGAAGAAGCTAATAAAGAGAAGAAATCGTGAGACAAAGAGAAGCGAGTGTGAGTGTAGGCGCAGGAAGAGAGTAGGCCTGAGAATCGGCTGTCCCACGGCTTTAATGCGGCGCTGTGGAGACGGTGGCGGGTGTGGCATACGGCTCTTCCCTCAGGGGCTCCTCGCTTTAATGCGTGATTACGTGCATTCTTTGTGTTAGACTAACTTACGCTTAATTGCTAGAATATGGGCATTGTTTAACTTCCCTCAGCTCTCTCTACTTCAACTTAATCGCGATGGCGCGCATTGTTTGAGGTTCTTGCCTATATCAATTTATTGTCAACTTAACAGCGATGGTGCGCATTGTTTGGGTTCCTAAGGCTTCTATCAATTTAATGCCTTATTTCGGGCATTGTTTTTGTACCCGTGGGTATTCTCGCTTGAGTTTATGATGACGTGCGCGGTTTGTAGTTTCGGTAAATTTTAAAATTTAGTGCCTGGAAGTTCTTTGTTTCCTTACACGCTCAGTGCGCGCTGGGTCTGGTCTGGGGCCATACTTTCAAAACTTGCTAAGTGAACGTAAGTAGTTACGCTCTTTTTCTTGTCTATGATTGGTGGATTTTGCTTGAAAGGCCGTCAATGATTGGCTGATGAACTTACTATCTCTTAACTTTTTTCGAAGGTATAGGCCCTGGTCTTAAGTTTAACGTTTAACAGCGTCAACTTGGCTTCTTAGAGCGTGTAACTCTTCTGTTGCCCATCCGTACAAAGTGTCTATTAGAAAACAGTTACGGTTTCCCCGGCTCCGGCTCATGGGATGAGGCAATCGCTGCTAGATGTGCACTGTTGCTATTGTTTTTCAGCGACTGGCTTGTAGTAGTGAGAAAAAATATATAATTGTTATTTGCAGTCGAATCTCATGTTCTTCATAAGCATGTCAGAGTTCTTAAAGTTTTAACATCTTGTCCGTCATTTATATACAATCGATTCAGATGAATCTCGAGTGTAAGTGATGCATTCTGTGACTTCACAAGAATGGCTGATTAAAACCACCGCTCATAGATGTTTGAACACTATAGCTGTCACTGTGTATCGAAAAATGTGATTCTAAGTTTTTTTTAGTTTTAACTTGATTCTCATCATGTAATTTCGTACCTATTTGGATCGAATTGTTATCTCCGACTGCACAATTCCGGACATGTATTAAAAAATTTACTTTACACATTTCTTGGTCAAAATATGGAATAATCTGCAAAATGAAGTTTCGTGCATGTCTTAATGTCGCATACATCAGTCAAAATTAAAATTAAACTTTCAAAAAACATACTAATAAACATGCATGATATTAACTTCTCTTTAAGTATTCGCGAGAACTGTTCACTACAGGAAGAATATGGAGTGCCACGAGCAACCTGATTTTATACAGAAAAAAGTCCGTGTAGTAGCTTAGCTCTCCTGAAAAATGAAAAAAACACGAATTACTTTGTATCTTAGAGAGAAGAGAGTAACGAGTGTGTTGGTTATACATGTTTAGAGGAACGAGAGCCGTCTGTAACTTGGTTCTCCAGAAAAGCCTGACCACGATTTGCCTTGTTCTCCAGCAGAAGAAGAAGAGGCCAATTTTCCTGGTTCTCAAAAAGAGGGAGAGGCCGCGGTTTCCTCGGTACAAAACATAAAAGGCCACAGATATATTGGTTCTCCAGATGAAGGACAGGCCACGATATGCTCGGTTCTCCCGATGAAGGACAGGCCACGATATGCTTTGAATCTCCAGATGAAGGACAGGCCGCGTTTTGCTCGGTTCTCCCGATGATGGACAGGCCACGTTTTGCTCGGTTCTCGAGGACCGCGCAGGGTGCAAGCGGTCGGCTATTTGTCTGCGGCTGCTGCTGCTGGCATGTTTTGTCGCTCAGCCAAACGTTTTGTAATCCTGCATGTAACGATTCAGCGGCACAGACTTTAAAATTCTGGCTCTAAACTTTTATGTCTTTTGTTACACTTAGAGGTCTGTCCTCAAATCTTTTCAGATATCGCCGTATAAATTTAAGTCTTAGCAGGATTACGAAGCTTGTATATTTTCATCGGATTTCTGAAGTTAGCTCACGCCTGAAGTTTTGATCCAATAGGAAATCTGACTGTTGAGATTATTTTTTTAATAATATGAAATATAAAGATTGGCAGAATATTTTATGATTTTTTAAAATTGATGCCAAAGTAGCTAAGTCCGGTTGAAATAGCAGCTCCTTTTCTTATCTATGCAAAGTCACCAACTGCCGCTGACACTCTAATCCCGAATTCAATGCTTGAGATCTATAGTTAAAATCCTTTATTTTCTCCAGTAAAATAATCCATTCTATTGGCGCACCCCATGTGTGATCTCTGGATAAGAAATAAAATTGAATGTTCATTTTAACCTCGCTTCCCTTTATAACTGTTCTACATACTTGCGTATACGGACTGGAAATGTCCTGTTTGTTTTTTTTTAAATGATTCACATGCAGTTTTCCATGTGATGAATTGAACTTAATTAGGAGAGAAAACTCGTTTATTCTTTGTAAAGTTTGCCTCGCTTAAAGTACTAAGGTTAAGGCCGGCACTCAGCAATGAACAATTTGGACAGTCATTCAACGTCCACTTGCTTAGCATTGCAAACGATTCATTAAGACTTTGACGGCCGCTCTGTGCAACTTATTATCCCTCTGATGNTTGGACACAATGACGTAACTGACAACGATAACTTTAACAATTCTCAGTAGCGTCGTTGTTGTTTGTTCCTGAATTGAATCTCCGGAAAGCATTCTAATGGGTAAAATTGGGTACTTATTTTATTATATTTGGCCATCCAGCTCCCCAAACGCTGGATTAAACTTGCAAAAAAAATCCTAAGCTCAAAAAGTTCCAAAGTTCAATGTTCGTATAACATTATACACCTCTTTCAGCGCTGTAACGCATGTCAAAATCCATGGTGTTTCCGCATGCCTAAAAAAACGTAACATTTAAACATTCTTTACGATGGCAGCAAATGGAGCAGGAAGTGGACGACGAGAACAAGCCCATAGACTTGAGCTGGCCGGACACGTGTCGTAAGCGCCTCACGTATCTCTTCGTGGCGCCCATTATCCTCCCGCTCTGGGTCACCATGCCTGACACCATTCCAATGTCATGAATATTTCTGTAGTGTATATTTTTAATTCCTACGGTTTTCGTATATTCTTCTTTCGTTTGAATAGTTTTTTTTGCATAAGAATTTCGGTCAATTTTGATGACAACATTTTTATCTCTCAGTGGTCGGCTTCTGTAGCGAAGTCAGTATGGCTGATAAAGTTTCTGCTTCCCTCAGTGCTCGACTGAGAACCAAAGTCAGAGGTTTCTAACCGTTCTAACTGTTCAACTTGTAAGTTGTCTCTGGGGCCATACTTCCAAAATTCGCTAAGTGAACGTAAGTACTTACGCTCTATTTTCTTGTCTATGATTGCTGGATTTTGCTTGAAAGGCCGTCAATGATTGGCCGATGAACTTACGATCTCTTAACTTTTTTTTAAAGTATGGGCCCAGGAATGGTGAAAACTTCTTCGTGGTGATAAACGTCCCCCGCAGCATCATCCTTGCGAAAGTCAGAGATAGTTAACAGAGAGCATTCAATTAGAGCATCCGGGCCCTTGATTTCTCTTAAATTGACTTATGTTATCTGGGCAGGCAAACGCTTCTTCGTGGTTACCTTCTTCGGCAGCATCATCTGGATCGCCATATTCTCTTACCTGATGGTCTGGTGGGCCTCCACTGTGGGCGACGTCATCGGTATCCCTGCTCCGGTGCGCTCACTAAAATCTTTCTTAAATTCTGCACAGATTCTTATCGACGTAAAATTTAGTTCCATAAGATTTCTCATATGTACTTGTGGAGTCAATTATTCAACCGTAATAAATAATAAGCTCAGATAGTTTCGCATAACTTTCATCATATTCATTTAAATTTTGTATTTCTGATGTATTACGCAGACTTATTCTCGCGTTTAATATATTCATATATGAACATTAAATTAGCTGCCTAGCACGATTTTTGATCTTCAATTTATGGAGTAACTCTCGTGCAGGTAATGGGACTGACTATCCTCGCTGCCGGCACGTCGGTACCAGATCTTATCACGTCCGTCATCGTCGCAAGGAAAGGTTTTGGAAGCAACATCTTCGACGTGTGTGTGGGGTGAGATACTCTCCCTTTGATATCTTCGTCTGTTGGTAGCAACATCTTCGACGTGTGTGTGGGGTGAGACTCTCTTCCTTTAATGTCTTCGTCTGTTGGTAGCAACATCTTCGACGTGTGTGTGGGGTGAGCTGTTCTTCCTTTGATATCTTCGTCTGTTGGTAGCAACATCTTCGACGTTGCTACCTTCGTCGCTCTTTCTTCGAGACAAAGCCACGATCTTGTCTGGCTTGTGTTGCCGATGTAGAAAAATGATATCACTTATTTCCCATTTTGTAATGTATCACTATACGATTTAATTCTATTATCATAATATTTCTTTTGAAATTAACGAATAAAATAATTCTATAGATAACGTATAGAAAAATAGTTCTTCAATTCGTCCACATAATTTCAAATATCCTTGCATTTCAATGGATTTTGAATTTTCTTCTGGACTCCAACATTTTTCTAAACTAGTAGCTTTCGAGTGTATTCGAAGAGAAACTCGGGTGTTCAGACTGTAACTTAAATACCGTATGCATTTTAAATCAAATAATTACATTCCTATTATTTTATTGATCAACAATGCGATTTTATCGGAAATTAACGTATTAAATAGATATGCTTAACGAACTATATCTGCTGTAAGGAATTGCTTATAACATTTTGAACTCTTTATCTCAAGTATGAGCGCGTATATCTATTTTGCTCAAAGAATCTAAGTATCATATGAGTGATTTGCAAGTATGTGGTTATGTTCTGGAGAAGGATTTACGATGAGAAAACGATAAGGAATCAGCGTGATGGTGAAAACCAATGAAGAAGTATTACGGTATGCGGGAACAGCTATTAATTATTATTTTACTATTAGCATCAACGTTTGTGGGAGCGAATATTAATCAATTTCAATTTACCGATTAGCATCAAGATGTGAGTAAATGATGAAGTAACAGTGTGATCATCTGATGTAGTTTAATCATATTTTAATCATATTTGCTTGTCTCTCAGGCTGCCAGTGCCGTGGCTCATCAGCGCCCTCGTTGACGTCATCAAGAACTTCATAAATAAGAAGGACAGTCCGTTCCACATCACGCCCATCTATGTCAAATCTGGTCAGTTAGTTGCTGAATTTTTCCCAACGATTAATGAGAACTCTATCTAAATTCAATGTATCTACAGTTCATTTCCTTACAGTTCCGTTTTCATTGAAGATATGGTAAATATACTTGGCGTTTTCTTTGTTTTTAAATCGTTGGAGAATTTGCGATATAAATTTACTAATGATATGAATATTTGTGAATTTCTAACGAATGATTCACAATTCAAATTTGCAAAGTCCAGACGTTATTGTCATTCATGTTGTTCTAGAGAATCCTGGAAGATTATCATTAAATATTGTATATTTTTTCGGAGACTTTGAATGTCATGCATTTTTTATGTCGTAGCTAACGAAAATGCGTCATAAGCTACTATTATAAATGAAATGAAGGTAATCATGACGTTGAGAGAAGTAATTGGATGTCTCAGAATTTTCACAGCTAGCTGCGGGTCTAAAACACACAGCTCTGTGCTCTATTTCGATTATCTAAACAGCTCAGCCCTTCATTAGACAGGTGAAAAAGTTGAGATTTTTCGTTAAAATTAATGAAAGTTTGATCCAGGCACAGTTACAAATCATCCATTATCGCAAATGCTCCGTAAGTCATGGACTTACGGAACATCTAGCATTGCATATTGAATTTCTGAATGCAGAGCGAAGTATTCAGCTACAAGTGCAACGTATTTCATGTGGAACGAATGCAACTACAAAATAACAATTAATTTACGTTACTTACAGATGGCATCGCGTGCTCCGTGATGCTGCTGTTCTCCATGCTCATGTTCGTCATCATCTCGATCGCTGTGAGCAAATGGAAGATGTCCAAGGGATTAGGTGTCTTCATGTTCGTACTTTACTTCATCTTCGTTGCTGTGTCGCTGCTTCTTAGCTACGGCAAGATTACCTGCCCAATATAAGCGTTAACTTTACCACACTTCGACGAAATGGGACGCTACTCGACGCTCGGTTGTTGAGGGTTGATACCGAGCGGCCAACCTTTTTGTGGTTTCTGAGGGGGGCTTTTGATGGTTTACTGATGCACACCATCGAGTTCTAAGTATTTTATTCTAAAATCATGGAGCTCTCAGCATTTTATCTAAAACCATGGAGCTCCGAGAGTTTCACTGTTAAGGAATTCTCTTATTGTTAGGACGACATATCTTCGTGAGAGGCAATCCAAGTTGTCAGTTGAGATCAAAGTAGTCAGAAATTTACCTGCTAGAGGATCATTGGACATTAGATCTTTGTTAACACCGCAATGAAATGATTAATAGTTTATTTCAGTATCATGTAATCATTGTTTTTCACTTGTTTCTATAGTTTATTCGGGTATCTCAGGTAATTTAGTTTATTGTACACGGTAGTAAATATTTCTTTACTTCACCACAGACGTCATCGTTAGAAATTGTATGAATTAGCGGCCAAGTCTGGCACAACCATGCACAAATATAGGCGTCTATAAGGTCTTATGTATTTAGGTGGGATATTGCCGTACCCTGAATTTACCTTATATGTGAAATTAATTATTAGTGCATATTAGAAGATCTTCGTATATTTATAGTAGAGCCCTTCATTTAAATAATTAAACTTTAAAAGAGTTCTAAATATAAATAGCATTCTTTTTTTAAATATAAATGGCATTCTTGCTTTTTAAAAATACATGGAAACCTCGATCGTATTGCATATGATAGCAGATGTGAGTTTCACTTTATATATTATTTTTATAGGTTAGTGAATGTTACTTCACTGGAGTGCGGTTAAAACTTATAACTCTGCTGTGACCGCATGCTTTCGCTTTTCTGAGACAAGCAAGGAACAAACTAACGTGCACGCAGAGTTTTTTTTTAATATATACGGATGAAAATGTGTTGCTTCACTAGATTTTTTTGTCTCTTGCTCCTATTTCTGCTCTAGCATATAGAGATCTATCTACTACCTTCAGCTAGCTTCTAGTGTTTTTATAGAAGTATCTACGTGAAGTGGAAGTTACTGCTGTTACTAAGATATTACTGATTACGTAGTAAACTATTACTATCTAGAAACTTTAAAGTCTCTTGTTGTTCGTGATGTATGCATTATTCTAATATATTTAATAACGCATTCATGTAGCACGCGAAGATAAGTACACTTGCTTAGCTCAATGGCAGCCAGCGGCGGTACCACGCACTCATACAAACGAAAGAAACTTTCTTCAGATATCAATGCATTCTCTGCAATTATGTGGGTCACTCTGACCCACTTTGTCCCGGGAATGTGGTATATAAATTATATATGCAGAAAGTGCGTCACTATTTGGACAAAATGACCACTTCATTTTTCTGAATGATCTTCCAAGAAATTTGGTTTTATGTCGCCCAATTGATTGGGATCAACCTCGCGTCGCTTGAAATATCTTCTCAGATTACAAACTTAGCGTATCGTTAAAATACTATTCAAAACTCATTCAAGTTAATGAATTAAGCGTTCGCCTTGCAGAAATAAAAAACTTGGACTCGACTAACTGGATTTCCAAAGCACGGAAGCGAAGTGTTTCAGGAAAATTTTTTGACGCATTGTTGCACAGTTTTTCTGCTGTCCCAAAGACAAAAAAACACATCGCCAGATCTGAGGCTCACTTTTTGTAGGAACATATGCTGTGCAATTCTCCTTTTATAGACATCGTCAACGAATTAATCTATTCCTAATACTTTTTTTAAGGAAGAATATATCGACAAAATATGAAAGAATATCAAGGCCGACCATGCATAAAAAAATTAGATCAGTACTCACTGCAGTATGTGACAGAAAGCGCATTTTCTCATGTCCGTCCGTCCGTCACGGACGGACGGACACACGGAGGGACGGACGGACATGACGAGCACAATAGCGCCTTTTTTCCATAAATGAGAAAATGTGCTAAAAAGTGAGGCCGTGACCGCTTACTCGACCTCTTTCACTGCATTGTCTATGAAGAAAGCAATATCTATGATCTCTATAGCGCCCAATAGGCCTTTTATCTAAAGGCTTAGAGTAGTAGTCGGCATGTGCTATTTTGATATCGTACGCAAAATGCTGTTGTAGGCTGTAGTGAATTCTTTGTCAGAACTCTTCGCTACATTCCGCGTATAACTAGCAAGTCTTTTGACGTGGATTGCTTACTCCTGAGCTTGCGACAGCTTTCAGTAATCCAGGGCCTATACTTTCAAAAAAAGTTAAGAGATCATAAGTTCATCAGCCAATCATTGACGGCTTTGCAAGCAAAATCCAGCAATGATAGACCAGAAAATAGAGCGTAAGTACTTACGTTCACTTAGCGAGGTATGAAAGTATATATGAACCTTTACTTTCAAAAAAAGTTAAGAGATCGTAAGTTCATCAGCCAATCATTGACGGCTTTTCAAGCAAAATCCAGCAATGATAGACGAGAAAATAGAGCGTAAGTACTTACGTTAACTTAGCGAGTTTTGAAAGTATATGGCCTCTGGTCCATAACAACGCGTTGTTAACCAAATAAACAATTCTGTTCCAAGAAACAACCTCACGAACCCCAGCGCGTCCGAATGATAAAATAACTAACGTGAACTTTATCTCGTGGTCCTGTCAGATTAACAAGATGTTGTTCGATGTTGTTGCAAGTATTAACACTGAGCTTGTCACGCTGTATGTCATGCAGCAGACATCATCGTCATGCACTTTTTTCTTGTGTAATTTTACTCGCAACTGGGGGCAGCCTCGGTGTCTGATGTGCTTGTACACAGGGACAATAGTGGCAGAAAGTAAAACTTTCAAAAACTTACCACCACTATTTACCGTGCTAGTGGCCTAGTGTATTGGCACTACTGGCTGTGGGTGCCCAGTAACTAACCCATGCCGGAAGCATGATAATTCGTGGCAGTTTGCATCTGAAAGTTGTACTGGCCGCCACTACTGTCCCCGTGTAAAGGCACTTTTAGCTCCCAGATTGCGAAGTTACTAACGCTGTCCTGCATGCCTCATGCAAGAAATGTTGCTCAAATGTTCCATTTTCTGCAGTTGTCCCCTGAAAAGTAAGGACTTAGTCGGTCTTCCTTAATAAACTTGATTTCGCTGCTCCATATTTCCCTCTAGATGTCTTCATTGTCATCTGCATCGCTGGCTTGCTCGTGTTTTGACTCTCTGTTTAAAATTACTGAACATTCCTCTACATTTTCTGTACAAATTTTATTCTCGCCGTATTTGCGCTAATTCGTCTACTGTGTTCTCTCTGAAACTGTATCTTGTTGATCTTTTGTCATAGCCGCTGCTGTTGTTTCCAAGTGATATTTAAAAAATAGCTTATATTTATTGAGAGTTTATTGTTAATGTTGCTGTTATTACCATTGCTATGCGTTGTTTAATGCACCGTCGAGTCTGGCTTATACATGGGACTGCACTGCATGCAGTGAGAGTGACGTGAAGATGGTGACTGTACAGATGATGTGCAGCAGCGGTGAGGCAGGCTGTGAGGCAGGCTGTGCAGCAGCTGTGAGGCAGGCTGTACAGCAGCTGTGAGGCAGCTGTGCAGCAGCTGTGAGGCAGGCTGTGCAGCAGCTGTGAGGCAGCTGTGAGGCAGGCTGTGCAGCAGCTGTGAGGCAGGCTCTGCAGCAGCTGTGAGGCAGGCTGTGCAACAGCTGTGCAGCAGCTGTGAGGCAGGCTGTACAGCAGCTGTGCAGCAGCTGTACAGCAGCATTAGTCTTGTGCTGTGACCACCTCCAGTCGTGCGGACGAGAAGCCCAAAGTTCAGACAGCGTATGCCTTGTGTTGCTTCGCGTTAAGTGTTGTAGAATGTTGTAGATTTTCGCATTTATAGTTTCTGGAAAGTAGCTTTAGGCTACTTTTCCGGCTTTATTATGCCGTTCCATACTAACTTTATATGCAATGAGACCTATAAAAACTGCTTCAAATGTGTTGAAAACTAATAACGCTGATGAGATGCATCGTCAGAGGCTTTCTCATCGTGCCAAATTCTGCCGTGTTAATTAAACATGCCTTGTCTAATGCGTTGCTTCACTTGCCCAATCCGATGCCGTAATTTTTACAGTTTTGGACGTGCCAGTCACCGTCTTTGAGAACGAGTTTTACGGAAATGAACGTAAAATAAATTAATTAATTACTTATAACCATAGTTTCTTTATCTTGTTAGCTAAAAGATCGGTACTTGTTTGAAAATTCATCGTATTTATACTTTGAAATTGATTTTATATACGGGTGGCGTTCAACTACCTCATGATAGTCAAAATTATCAAAAAATACTCTCATTAAATTACGTACTCCAGCCCTTCACGAAATGGTATAAGCCGTGCATTTCATGATGAAAAATTCTGCGCATAACGCTTTAGATTTCTACATATAATTTTCTATATCTATAACTATAGATTGTTTTTTTGGTGCAAAGTTTTTTCGTGCTCGCTTCATCATTTATTATTCTACGTTTTCTACTTCTCTTTATAAACTACTGCTTTTAGCTGCCTGCTGTTGACGTTTCTTTGTTGTGTATTGTGAATCACAGCGGTAATTAGCATTACTGCCTTTTATTGTTCTATTATGCAGCAAATGACTACATTTATTCTAAATAGAAACGTTACATTGTTTAAATTGCTGTAAGGCTTCTTTAATCCTCTATGCTGTACTCAATTGTTAGATTTATAAGACGTGTACCATATTAAGAGATTATCTTAACATCGTAAAGCTGAGTGCAGTTTGTATGGCAAGTCTGGCTGTACATGCGGTAGCCGTGGACTTCTTAGGTGAACAAATAAAAGTTCAGTTTCAGGCTTCATGATTTTATTAAACTCTTCTTTGTAAGTGTAGATGAAGGTTAAAACTTAGCTCTGTTTATCCAACCATTATAATTGTAATTTGAAGTCGTTATATCAAGTGATAGATATAATTATTAACTTTGTTTACTTGTTAACGTTATTTAATTGTTAGAACAATTAAATGTTGTACAGCATACAACATTTAATTGTTCTAACAATTAAATAACGTTAACTGATAATGTTGAATACCTTCCACTAGCAGAAATCGTTCATTCAAAGCATTTTCTAAGGCGGTAAACTTACGGAAGTCGCTTGTGAAAAATGTGAATCCATTTACTTTACAATATAAATTCAAACCTCAACTCCAGGCATCTTGATTATAATTCAGCATAATACTATTTCTAATTCAGCTTGATTATTTTATTTTTTAAATCTCCATTTAATTCTTCTGAACGATCTACTGCAACAACACAATAATGTACGATCATAAATCAGGTTGAAAATCAACGTAATTTTCTCGCTGCCTCCCATGCAGCAGCCGTTCGTGCCAATTCATTATAACATTTCCAGCCTCATTTAGTTTCCACAGTCAAATCTTATTATTATTTTATATAAAAATATTTTAGATTGTGTCTGCATGCAAAGTTGACCGCCATTACCCGCTTTATACTCGGTGTTGTCCACTTAATCTAAAAATTTAAGATTACTCGTTTCTAGAACGGCGAACGAATGTTATTATAAATTAATTATATTCTATTTCTGAACGTTCTATTGTACAGAAAGTAATTGTAATTTTATGAGATGTATATGCGTAGATGTAATGAATTGTGAA